AAGAGTGCTGGATAAACTGGGCCACATCCAGCCTCTCTGACCGTGTTTAACTTCTACCGTATCCAATCTATTGCTGTTGTAGGGGAGGAAAAATAATTTTCCCTCTGCCCTTCTGAGTTCTTAGCTGAGACTCCTGTAATAAAAGACAGAGCAACAAGAGAAAAACAGAAGTTTGTTAACACGTACACCTCGTGCGTACATAGGAGATCCCCAGGGAAAGATGAGTAACTCCGCAAGTGGCTTAGAATTCAGGATTAAATACCAGCTTAATAGGGAAAGAAGAGGGGGATTAGGCCTCTCGGGGAGAAGAATGACTTTGGGAAGGATGAATGGGCCTTTGGAAGAACAGACGGGAGGGCCGATAGCTTGTGATGAAGTTTGCCTGGGTGTAGGGTCGGCCTCCAGGACCCTCTCCCGTGGTGAGAGTCAGTCCTCCCTGGCTGATGACACTCCCAGGGAGGGAACCTACGGCACTTGAGTCCCCTTCGGAGGATCTGTCTTTAGGCAGATGACGGGAGTTCAGAGAAAGCCTCTCCCTGCATTTGCTGGTTTTCAAGCCCCTACCGCTTGAAATAATCAATATACCAAAGCGGCATATTTTGGGGTAGCATATTCTGCTACTCTTCACTCATTCACAAAATATTAAGCTTCATACCTTGATGAGGCTGCACAGACAAGCCCCTCTCTGGCTCTCGCCCTGGGGAGGCTGCCACTTGGGGCGACGTTGAGAGGCTTCTGAGAACAGCGTGTGCTGGTTTCCTCAGTCCGCATCCTAGCTGTAACTTGACCCCACTGCTATGTGCCGTCCTGCCCCTCCACTCATCCTTGGATGGTTCAATCCAGACCCCCAGAGGGGGACGTCAGAGAGCAAACTTTAGGCTCCGTTCCAAGCTTGAAAATTCTAGAACCTGATGCATGTAGCTGAAAACCTAGTCTCTATTCCTAGGAAAATCAAAGCCTAGAAGGTCTGGCCCTCTAGATAAAGAGATGTTTTCGAAAAATCTTAAGTAATCACAGGACAATGACTTTCTAGGGCAAGTATCTCCAACTTACTGTCCTCAGGGGCCAGCAGGGTGCTGGCAATGAGTGAAGCCAGCCAGTGGTATTTGCATGTCCTACGTGTGGTCTAAAGCAGTGTTGCTATGGAGCTCTAGCTGACTGTTTCCAGTGGAAATACAAAAATGTTGGCAAATCTTGAGACTTTTTTATTCGGAGCCAGAAATGCAGATCTATATGGAAATATCCCCATTTAAAAATATTGGCAATTAATTGAAACAAAACAATACACAACAATCACAACTCCTTCGCTGACAGAATATGGCTGGAAGGCAGAGCAGACCAGCCTGTCAGTTTGCAAACTCTGCCCTGGGATATACGTTTGAGCATGGGGAGCAAAGGCTGGCTAGAACTAAGGGTATGTGCTGAGATGTGGTAAGAGGTCAAGCTGATTTGACTTTGGCCTACATTTGGAATGAAGGGTGGACCCCAGAGGACTGACAAGTTTGAACTGGTTTCATTAAGTAATAGGGAGGCAGAGTAGCAAAGGGGGGCGGAGATCATGGGCTTTGAATTCAGAGAGGTGTGGGTTCAAACCTCACTCCCTGCTTCACAGCTGGATGAGTAAGGTGCTTCACCTCTCTGAGTCTTGCTTTCCTCATGCGCAGAATGGAGAATAAATCCTACCTAACAGGGTCAGGAGAATTAAATGAAATTATGCATAATATGTCTGCCATTCTGTTGGGCATGAGGTGCTATCTCGTTGTAGTTTTGATTGGCATTTCCCTGACATGTGGAAGATAAACAAACACATAGACAAGAACAGATTGGTGGTTATCAGAGGGAAGGGGGTGTGGGGAAAGGTGAAAGGGGTAAAGGGGTATGTGTGTATGGTGACAGATGGCAACTAAACTTTTGGTGATGAACACAATGCAGTCTATACAGAAGCTGAAATATAATGATGTGCACCTGAAATTTACACAATGTTATAAACCACTATGACCTCAAAATAATAAAAGGTAAAAAAAAAAAGGACAAGAAAATGTCTGCCACCTGGTAGGTGTCTGGTTCATGTGCTTGACCCTTCACAGGTTCACGAATGAGGAAGATACTGGATGAAAGCAGTGTTTCAGGAAGGACAGCCAAATGGCAGTTTCAAGACTGGAGTCAGAAAGACAGTCTAGGTCTCAGGCCGTGTGACCAGTTTGAGAGCACAGCAATTATTACCATGCGTTCTTGGAGTCAAGCCTGTCTCTGGTGACAAGACCATAAAAGCTGACCTCCTGGCTCCTCCACAGGTAAGGTGATGGACAGGGTGCAAAGCACAGTGCCAGCCAAAGCTCGGCTGTGCCGGCCTCCCTGTCTGCTTCCCACCCCATCCTCGGCACCCTTAGGGCAGCCAAGGGAGGCAGGGCCTGGCCCCCTGGCACTGCTGATCCAGAGCCAGCCTCAGGCACAAGCCAGGCCCCGACCTTTGCTGGGTCCCTACGGCATCTCTCTATCTTCAACAGCCAGTGAAAGCCTTTCTGCAGAGTTCCTGACAATGTTTTGAGTTGCTCAGCAAATTCATCTTTACAAGACTGCTTATAGCTTTTGAGAGCTTAGGAAGTTTGTTACGTGCAGACATTTCTAAGTGAAAACGTCCAAAGCAGTTGTTCCAAAGGACTAATGGGGAAAAAAAAGACACACTAGTTTTGTCCCTCAGGAGCTGTTAGAAGAGACATGTCTATCCACTAATATACTTAACCTGTCATTACTAATCAACATCTCAGCTTTCCAAAAGGTTTCCTAAAGTGAAAATGCTTGCGTCTGAATCTCCGGGAGGGCTTGTGGGCCCCTCCCCTGATCTCCGAATCCGTAGGTCTGGGGTGCGGGCCACATTTCTCACAGGGCCTGGGTGCCGCTGCTGGTTGGGAACTATGCTCTCAGAAGCATTGCTATAACGGATCTGTCCGTGTTTATGCGGTTCACAGCGCGAGGGACTGACAGAAGGCATGGGAACCCCTCCACCCCTTGATGAGAAAATAGAAGCTAACGCTAAATGGCAGAAACAGGATGAAACAAAGCCTGAAAATCTGATATGAGTCACAAACTTGACTATAAGCCAAGAAAGAGTTAAAACAGTCATGACCATGGCTGGGTGGAGAAGGGGGGGTTGGCATACCAATCAAGCATTTAGGCTAGGAACGGGAAACGCGCCAGGGGCAGTGGTCTCCAGTAGCTATTGTAGATGTTGCCTGAACTGGGCTTCACAAATGAGCATGGGATCCTTAATATCCTTGTGCTCTATGCTTTGAGGGTTTTTAAAGCTTGGCAATACTTGTTGACGTCTTAGAGAGGTTAGCTCTGTGCTTCGTAGGGCTCTTGCAAATGGCAGTGGTTTTCCCAACCATAGGGAGCAGCTCTGAGGTCCACGGCAGCTAGTTTCTCGTTCAGGAAGGAACACTGCAAGGATGTCTAGGACGGAGTATTTTCGGTGGCCTTGTCTCCCTCAGGGAGGAATTTTTCTACTTTATCTCAGAACACACGTGACTTTTCTAGGCTCTGCATGACTAGCCTAATACCCAGGCATAAGGACTCACTGAAAATGCAAATGGGGTTAGCAGGTGCCCAGTTTCTAAGGAGACAGAGGCTGTTCGTCTTGCCTCACCTCCCCAGCCTGCCAATTTAAGTGTTTACCCAAGGGCCGATGAGCACTTTTCTATTTGGCTCAGCTAAGAGTGAAAAGTTAGTCCTCTGTCCTAATGGTAGCTGTGTGTCTAGTTACTTCTGTAACCTGATAATCTTCTCGAATGAAATCATCTCTGGTCTGTGACTCTTGGTGGATATAACAGAAGGATAAAACTCTTGTACCTTGGCATATTTAGCAGTCCGTGAAAATTAGGGTGTTTCTCATCAACTGTACACCCTTCCCTAGTAATAGAAAAAGCAAAGAGAACTGAGATGGACCAAAAGCTGCCCGCCAAAAAAGACACAAAATGTAGTCAATTGGGCACTTGGGGCAGAGGACGCAGCTTTCTCCGGGTTGCTCTGTTTTGCCCTCTCAGTCACGGGGTTGAGGCCGGTGTTGGATGGGCACTACGGGCGAGACGTCAGGTCAACAGAAAGTGGCTCTGCTGATTTCCCTCCTGGAGAAGACCCCTCACAGGGCAGCAGCCCCCCACTGAGGGCTCACGGTCTAGAACGCGGATGGCAGGTAGCCTGAGCGTCTGTGCATAGGACTGGACACACTGCTCATTCCATGCTCACCTCTTAGCTGAGTACACGCCTAGAGGAGCCCTTCTCCAGGCCGAGGACTCCGGCTGTTGAATCCCAAACAGAAAAGGACAGCACCTACTTCAGCTGGAAATGGAACTGTGTCCATTAGGAGGTGGGAAGCAGAATACATTTCAGATGACTGCCACCTGCCCTAAACACGTGGCCAGCTTGGTTTGAAAAGAGGGCACACGCTGCCCAAACGTCTGACTGTGGTAGTACAGTCCTAACGTAGGGGTACTGACGGTAAAGGTGGAAGTGGTTTATTTTAATAGGGAACCAACTAAATAGGTTAAAATTTATTAGATTAACAATATCCAGTAGTAGACTCAACTAAGAACCAAAGACTCAGTTTGAAGTAATCTGTGATGTTGTCCAAGGCTTGGCTACAAAGCATCGCCGAGGGCCAGCAGCATCAGCATCACCTGGAGCTTATCAGCAACACTCTCAGGGGCCCCTGAACTTCTGAATCAGAATATATATTTTTTCTAAGATCTCCATGTGATGCTTGCACACATTCAAGTTTGAGAAACACTGATATAATCAGCACCTGCAATGGTCCAGGGGAGAGGAACTGCCTGCCCGCTCCTGGCTACGCTTGCTAGCTTCAGGCGAGGGCAGTTCCAAGGTATGTCTACCAACCCTTCACAGCCATTTAGTCATGTGTTGTACACAGGAATGGCACCCAGGCAGAGGAAAAGGGTTCCCCTTCACACCCCGGGGTCTATGATTCAGTAGAGGCTTCAGAGTACGAGTATCAGATGATTTTATTATAAAACTCAAGCCATTTATCATTGTTTATTTTTTCTAAAAAACACAAACTTGAGAATAAAATAAACGCACCCAAGACTCACTAGCCCTTGCAGGACAGGAAAAAGCCCTGGAGGGAGAGCCTGAGAATGTTTTTCCTCATCCCTACCATATGGACTTGCTCACACATCCAGGGACCCATGTTCTGTCACCTCCTCTACAAGATTCATGTACAAGAGGGTCACAACCACCTTAAAGCTATCTGATGCTAATGGTTTGTACATTCCAGTTTGCAACTCTGAGAAATGGTGTCAAATAAGCACTGCCAAACACCCCCTCCCAGCTAACCTTGACTGTCGTTCTTGGGTCGCGTCTTCAGGACTGCTTATGTTTCTTCATTGTAGCTTTTGTTTATCCCCAAGCACAAACCCTAAAATCCACCCACAGTCTCAAAGTTCAAGTATAAAGGTTAGGTCCAGGACCACCCCAGGTTGGTGTAGTGTTTCTTTATATCTCTGTAGTGTCTACTGGGAGTCATCCCCTTGGACAGGCTGGCCAGATGGCAGCACAATGCGGGGGCACACATGGTCACCTCTCCTACTGCCAAACTTGCTCCCTGTTCAATCTGGACACTGCCCCACAGTCAAGGTTGAATCTTGAAGTCAGTGCTGACCTTGGCCTGTCTTCATTCTGAAGTTGTACTCTTATGTAACCGAATCTATTTCTCCACCATCAATTCGATAGAGCTTCCAAAATGTGTCAGGCATATTCTAAAAAGAAAAGAGAATCACATCAAAATGCTACTTTTTGGGTAAGAGACTACATTTAATTTTATGTTCCTAAAAGAATTTACAATTAAACTAGAAGGAAACACGTGAAATGCGTGTTTTACACTCCATAATGGAACCGAGGTCTTCTTCCAGTATAGGCACAGAGACAATCTCTGCTAAGTCAGGGCTCTACGTGAGCCAGATGCTCTTGCTTTGTTCACTTGCTGATGTTTATTTGTCAAAAATAACAGCTATCTTAAAGAATCTTATAAAGAGAACACCAAAGTAGAACGAGGAATGAGGCACACCCAAGTGGTTACCAACAACAGCTAAGAGTCCACTGCTTCCATGCTGATCACTGCTCATATGTGCAATGGCTCCCAAACCCTACAAAAAGCACTGTTCTGTGCTTCAACAGGTGATTTTTAAAGTTAAATTAAATTTAAAGTGCAATGAAAACAAAGGAGTGCTCATAACAGAATCTCATGGTAACTGACAGTGGTAAACTCAAACCTCTTTAAATACGAGGAGGTTCAGGAGGGCTGAAAGCAGACTTTGACTCCCACATAGGACGCCACTTTAGAAGGCACTGCTTGATTTTATATCTAAAGTACAAACCCAAGTTAACTCACATCCAGGGGGGAGACTCATTTAAGCAATTTCAGAAAAACAAGGCTTTCATTGGAGTCTCCCTTGTGCACCCCATCATCCCAGCGGGTTTCTAAGGAAGCATCTCTTCAGCTTAAACGTTTAGCTATGGTGGCACAGGAAATCAGACTCACTGACACAGGAAACGCTACTAAGTAGTTCTCAGTAAAAAATGACTCAAACAGTAGGTGAAGTCCATCTGCGGACATGTTTTTCTGAATAGATAAGGAACATGACCCCCAGTAATGGCTTACCCCTTTCCTATCCATTTTATACATCTCTAAGCCAGAGGTGAGTGCTCCCGGACAAAAGACGGGCTACCGGACCTTAGGAAGCGTCCTGCGATGGAGCTGGAGGGTCCTGGCTTTCAGGCTCTGGAGGGGGCGCTGGCACAGCTTCTTTTTTCTGGGCCGCCAGGAATTCATGAATTGCTCGTTCTATCTGTGGCCTGAAGATGTGGTTTAGTTTGGGATCCACCACCTGACAGATGATCCTGTCCACTCCAGCCTCCAACATCCCTGACCTTGAGGAGACAAACAGATCATTCCGTTATTTACTTCCTCTAACCCTTCAGCCTCAGGTCCCAACAAGTGCCATCTGAGAGCCCAATAAATGTCCAGCTGGTCAAAGCCACAGCCCTTCTAGGGCATTCTTTCAGAGGGCAATCCACTTACCACACAGAGTTCAAGCCATTGCATTGTTACTTTTGAGGGGCAATTCACAACCAGCAGCTATTATTCCCAACACACAGCCTCATCCACTACCACCTCAAGCTTGCACAAAGGAACCAAACAGAGCTAAGCGCCCGGTGCCAAAGACAAAGCACAAGTGACAACGTGGGAGGAAAGAACCTGAAGACACAGGTGGAGCTGAAAAGCTGGTGGCACTGTCAGAGCCAGCGCCTCAGCCTCGACTCCGTTTCCTTCAACGTCTCCTCTCTCACTGAAAGGAAAAGCAGGAGAAGTAGGGCCAGCAGCAGCCTGGCCACTACTCCCCCACGGGACACCGCACAGAGGCGGCAGGCTGCAGTGTTTACAGCATCACCACCGACTCCACAGGGCCCTCGGCCGCGGCTGTTCCCTAGACACATACTAAGGAACCTCTAGGCCACCAAGTAAACAGCTAAGAAACAAACTGGTTCTAAGCTCTTAAGGGGCTAAAATATACCTTAAATCCTTTTTGAAGTAGAGCAACAAAGAGTCAAAATTTACGAATGTCTGCATTCAACCACTCCGGGCTGGGCAATGAGGAAGATCCTTATGACAGGGAACAAATCACAACTCAAGAGTCTGGAAAATAGTCCATGCAGGCTCAAACTGAAGTGTCTTCTCAAAGGATTAAAATATGCAAATACCATCTCAAGCATATGGACAGGTTTTATTTTCCATTAGACTTGAGAGTTCTTAAGCCATTCAAGCCTTTGCTTGGGTAAAAATAGGTCCTGCAGTACCTGGGCACATGGTGTGTCAGGTACAGTCAAGGAAACGATGGAGTGAACGGACACGGTGACAAGCGAGACCAGAGAGGGGCCCTGACCTGGTTAGGCTGAGCAGCGAATACAGCGCTCCCTAGTCAGGGCTGACCGGGAGCTTACCAACAGGAAACCGAGAAGTGAACACGGCGCCATCAGCGCACAGGGCGCCTTCAGGCAGAGCTGCACGAGACGGCGTGCCCTCCAAAAGCACGAGAGCACGGGGAGGGCAGCGTCGGGAGGCTGAGCCACCTCTCCTCAGTGACAGGCCAACAGCTTTCCAATGACACAACCCCGCTTCCTGAGGCAGATTCACAGGGGTCTTTACTGGATGTAAACGCCTGATCAGGAAAACAAAGTACCAAGAAAGAGTCGTTTGCTTTCCTGGTGATTGTAAAAGCATTTGAGGGAAACACGAAATCTTGTCAGGAGCCTAAAACAGAAGGTGAAACCAACACACATGTAGTTAAAACACTTTTAGTACAATTGGGTTCCAGAGGAAAAGCCGATTTCCTGGTGAGCCTTCCACTGTGGGAAGGATACAGCTCTGGGCCGGAACGGCCAGGCCGGTGCGCCACTCGCTCACCCGCTGAGAGCACTTAGGGGTAAGCAGCAAATCCTCATTTCAAAACTTCATTAGGATTTGCCTCAAATTCAAAATTAGCATGAATCATAGAGAAATGTCCCAGTATTAAACGTGAATTAGTACGTTCAGGTTAAATACATTCTAGATGAAGTCAAACAGCAGGAAAATTTACACAGATGATAAAACTATGAAAAAAAGCAGGGAAATAATTCTACATGGGGAGGATGGCGAACTTCTGAGCGGAGGAAGGTAAGGCGGGAAAGGAGGGAAGCAGGGCTGGGGTTGGGGGGGGGAGGCTGTAATGTTCTAATTTCTCAAGCTGGAGGTGATGACTGGGATGTTCTCATTACTTGTTATACTGTACTCCTGTGCACTCTTCCGTGTTACATTTCCTATTAAAGGTGTGTAAAAACAAGTGCCATAAGCATACCTCTAGCATGGCATCAACACTAGTTGAAAATTAACAAGTAATGTTGATAGTCTTCATACCATTAATGGCACCTTTCCAAATATTTCAAAATACTCAGTGTTTTAATTTATTTTCTTAATATGCTGGGCTATCTTTTAAAAGGTAGGGTAAACACAAGTTTGTTACTTAGCTGCAAAACAGGCTTTTTGTGAGGATGAGCAACAACACACGTAAGGACCAGTGCCAGACATGGAACAGCTGCTCAGCAAATGACAGCTACTGTCCCCTTCTTTCTGAAGGAGCCCTGTGCCACCAGTCTGCTCCCTAGAGAAACGAAGGCCCTGGGGAGTGATTCCAGAATGATGAGGCACCATGCATCTTTTGATACCATGTTTCTTCCCTAACTTTGAGAGCTTTTAAAAATTTCAGCTTTCTTAGTTTAAAAAGATCCAGTGCAAAACGATCCTGGGACAATCCTGACCTTACACAGCTTTCTGTTATAGCTGCACTGTCTGTGTCTGTACGGTGGCTCTGTGTAACCTCATCACACGAGTAGCCTCATGTCACCAGTGCCACAATTAAGCTACTTACCTGCACCATCCCAAGACCTCTCGTGCTACCCTTTCCAGGCACACTCACCCCTCCTCCCATCCCTGAGCCCAGCAATTGCTAATCGCGTCTCCATCTCTGGATTATGTTAGCTCACGAATGTTATAAAAATGGAGTCACGCATCAGGTTTCTTTTTGGTATTGGCTTTTTTCACTCAGCTAATTCTCTGATATTTCTATTTTAAAAAGGCACGCTTCACAAGCTTTTAGATATTCCAGGGGAGTTCAGCAGACCAAGAAAGCCTGAACATAAGCACTAGTATTGAAGGTAAAAAAACACAAGAAAAAAAAAAAGACTGAGTAGATTAGGAAAAGCTTAACTTAGGACCAAGATTCTATGACCTACCTCCACTTTTGTGCCCAGTGACACTGAGAAGTCACCTGAATAAACTATCAACAGCACCTTATTAAGGTTCAGTTTGTCACTGTGGAGGACACACCTGAGTAAGACTCCAGGCCTTCCTGAAAGCTGCCATTACTTTCGAGGGGCCACGCGGACTCAAAGAACTTGTACAACAAACATTCACTGTGGGAATCAAGATCCAGCGCCTCTTGCCCAAGAGCCAACCATGGATATCCTGGCATACAGCTCCTGTGTATGTTCACATTACACTGAAAACTGTAAAGAGTAGGGAACAGGTCTTCAATTTGGAACATCTTTCCACGCACCCGGTCGAGATGTGCACAGGAGGCCTATGTAGGCTAGATAAACTAGCAAGAATTGTAATTGAGTTCCTTGCTTACTTGAACCTTAATCTTAATAAAGGAGGCGCCTGCTGTGGCTCGTATGTGACATTTCCTGGGAGGTAGCATGCACCTTGACCCAACAACGACCAGCACCAGCCTTCTCGTGCGTCACACTCCCGATTATGCCTGTGCGCTCTCCGTCCTGCTTACTTACTGAACCACGCTCTGCCGCAGACCGTTGCGCAACTGGTTTTTGTTCATTGTAGGATTCCATTCCTGCTTGTCCAGATGTGTTGACACAAAATTATCCACTTTCTGCCTCAAGTTTTGGTAAGCTGGCTGAAATATTAAAAAGAAGGGGCAAGTCAGAAGTTACACGCACCAAGGCTTTGGTCATTAGTTATTCAGAACACTGCTTTTCACAGAAATATAGATTTTCAAGTCCTCAAATACGCCTCCACTGTGACTATGAAGATCACATGCAGCACGGCAGAGCACGAGTTAATGGCTAATGCAAGCACCCGCTTATGGGGGGTGGGCACAATGCCAGACGCTTTATGATCCCTCTTCCTTCTCAAGTAACTCTGTGCGGGAGGTCCTATTAGCTTTCTCCTGCCCCTTCTTTAGAGATTAGAAATTTAGGCTTAGAAAAGTCAACCACTTGCCCACATGGCAAAGCCAAGATTAGACCTAGGCTGTTTCAGAATCAAAGGAACTGGTTTCTAGCCGGCTCCATGGATTACCAGTTCTCTGATTTTCCAGTCAGCCAACCTCCGAGTCTCAGTTATTTCCATCTATAAAACAGAAAGATGGCTAGCCTGCTCACCTCGCAGGGTGTTCTCAGCAGTAAACAAGGCTCAGGAGCGCTCTCTGCATAAAATGAAGGGCCACCCAAACCTCAGTGTATCACAAGAATGGAGACAGAAGCTGAGGCCTATGGAACACGGAGAAAGGCTGAGGGGAAGCACAACAGAAGTCCAGAAAGAACACAAGAGGCACTTAGTGATCCCAGATGCTCTAGACTCAGCCAGGAACAGCAGAACGAAATGAGAAGGAACTTCACGAACACAAGGAATGTGTGCTCCGAGCCTCCAAAAACCGCTGCTGCTATCAGCTGCTGTCCTCCAAACCCAGGCACAGCGAGCGCTGCTGTGCAGCACCTCGCTCCTCGCCTCCTCCCACTGTGGGCAAAGACTTCCCGACCCGGTGATGCTGAGTTCAGCAACCTGGTTTACTCCGATCAATGGAATGTTAGCGACGAGAGACCTTAAGTGTGGTGGTACTGTCTGGCTTGGCTCTAGTGCTCTGATGGCACTCTACGAGCACATGCCCTGGGTTACCCCTGCCCCTTCGGCCTGGGACCAAGGAGGAGTACTTTTGTAGCAAACCTAAGCCCAACCTGCAGCTTGGACCCAGGCCCAGGCAACCTGAAGGCTGCAGCTGAGCCACCCAGCTGAAGCCTACCTAGATCAGCTGAACTGCAGCTGACCTGCAGCCCTAGCAGCATGAGAACAAATGCTTGTTACAGGGCACTGAGATTTAGTTTACTCTGCAGTGTTACTGTGGCCGGAGTTTGCCAGCAGTCAGATAAATGAAACTGACAGAGGAATCAGGAGGCTTTAACTCCATGAGGGGAGGCTTCAAAAAGGCCAGGAGAACTGACTCACAAACAAACTCTCCACTGAACCTGCAAAGGAGGCAGGGAGATGGGTGAAGAGTGACAAAGACATTCGTGTACTATCTGCCTAACAACCCTCTTCCTTTCTTCACAAGGGTAGGGCACAGGGTGCCACAGGGTGGGTGCCTGACCCAAGCTGAGACAGTGCAGACGATCCCTGAGAAATCTGAACTGCAGCTGAGAGGCCCTTTCTAGAGGAAGGAGCTTTAAGATTGGATCCCTTTTTCAAATGGTTGACTGCTCTGCAGTGGCAGTAAACAGTCATAAAGGACAAAGATGAAAGATGGCCCTAGTGGAGTACCCCTGGGTCCAATGCATCCCTGCCCATTTGTTTGTTCATTCACTCCTCCCACGGATTCCCCAAGTCAGAGGAGCTTTTGTGCAAAGGAGCTAGAATTAGATTCGTCACTTGTAACCACGCATCCCGATACTATACCTTCTACTATTCAAAATAACTCACCCAGTTGGAGATGTTACTGTTTACTGAAAAAAGACAAAGGACAGCAAATGTCATCATCAAACCTGACCAGATCCTGACAATAGAGAATATTCCCTTTACTTCACAAAGAGAAAGGACCTACGTGCCTGCTGTGCACATTTTCTTGTATTATCCATCTCTCTCTCCATTCACCTATCAGTTTGCTCTATTTATTTATAGTTTGGATGCATTGCAAGGTAACTTACATATAGCATCAGCACACTTTCCCCTAAATATTTCAGCTGTGTGGGAAGGGGCCTAAGAATATACGTTTCTAACAAGTCCTCAGGTGATGCAGATGCTGCTGATCCAAGGATCACACTGAGAATCATGGGGCTAAAGCAACAAAGGACTTAAGATGCACCTAAACACACTCCAAAAATTAAAACCAGCTGGTAACTACCAGAAGGAACAACTAAGGTGGTGGTAACTGGGGAAGGCTCCAACTCCCTCTCCAGCAGCTTCTCAATGTTGATTTTTTTTTTTTTTTTTTTTAGTAACAAGCATACTGTATTGATTAAGCCACACAAAACCTAATGAAACATAAAAAATATGAGTGGAGAACTTGTGATGGAAGTTGAGAACACCGAGTCCTGGGAAAGGCGAAAGCTTGTCAATACATATCTGGGATCCTTACATAAGGAAAATTAAATACCTTGTTTCAAGGATAGCACTTCTACTTGGGTTTTTAATCTTGGAGAATAACACGCCACTTCCCATACACACCATCTGGTCTACATGTCAGTTTTCCACCCTAGAGTACAAGCTTTGAGGACTGGGCAGTGACTTTTCTTGTATCCATGCAGCCTGGCACAATATAGGTCAGTAAAAGTTCAGTAAGTAGATGGACTAGGTCTTTCCCTTCCTTTAAGGTCTAGTTTTAAGCTCACAATCTTGCTGGGAGGTAAGCAAAAGATTTCTACGACAGGCTCAAGGAGGAGAAAATCACTTCCCCAGACGAGCCCAGTCAGTAACAGAACCTCTTAAATCTATGACCACAAGGTCTTGTTAGAGAAGCTTCTGAAAAGGGAGAAAATGAACACACCAGCAACTACTGCATCTCTGACACTTAACACACATGACTTCACTGAATACAAACAACCTTGGCAAGTAGGTAAAGTGCATAGCATTTTACTGGGGTGTTGACCCATGGCATCAGGATCTAAAATAGGCACCAAATCCCCTGTCATCTTTGATGGAGTACAAAATAAGGGGGCTGGTTCCACAACAATGTACCGTAATTCAAGTGTGCAAAAGGAACAAATAGCTATAAAACGCTGATGGTTGTGCATTCAAACCATTCACTGTCTAATGTCAGCTCCTTAATGGTGAACAGAGAGCGGGTGGAAATTCTAAGCCATTCACTTACTTACCTCGCTTCCTACACTGTTATTAACACAATGAGCTTTGTTACCGAGGAGCTTTAAGGAGTCCCATCTTGGGAAAGAGAGGGTCTAGGCTGTAAAACCAGTACTGAACCCCCAAGTTCAGAGAAGCGACTAGGCTAAGTCACACTGCCAACGGGGATGGGCTGGGAGCCGAACCCACAGGTGCGTCACTCAGAAAGCTCCCTGTACCGCCCCAAGCGGCCTAATACCTCACTGCCGAGGTTTCTAACGTTTCTTTTGTTGCTCTCTCTACTTTGGAAAAGCAGAACTGCAACCCTGGCGGCCTCACGAGCAGCCCGAACCCCCCTCGGCTCGGGTGGCCTCAGCTACCTTGGTGTCCACGTCGGCCAGGCAGTCCCGGCGGAAGCTGTCAAACAGGCCCCGGCTCTTGAGCTGCTCCACGATGAGAGCGATGAGCTGCGGGTCGCCGGGAGGCAGGGAGGCCGGGTTGACGGGGCCGCCGCTTCCGCCGGCCCCCGTCGCGCCTGTGGCCGACCCCGCCGAGGCTTGGCCCGCTCCGCCGCCGCCCACTGCGCCCGTGCCCCCGCCACCGCCGCCGTCCGCCATGGCTGCGCCCCGGGCCCGCGAAGGAGCTCGAATACGGCCTCTTCTCAAGGATAGAGGGCCTGGGTCGTGTAGAGGAGGCGGAGGAACCTGAGGAGGTGGCGGGGGAGGAGGAGGAGGGAAAGGAGGCAGAGGCGGTGGCGGAGAAGTCAGGTTCAGCAGCAGCCGAGGCGGCAGAAACCGCCCGCTCCATCCCGGGCGCTCTCCAGATGACGTCACCGTTGAGCTTTGCATTGTGGGACGGGAAGTTTTTGGCAATCATCTCCGGCTTTCTTATGTGCGGAGGTCCGGCCGAGGAAACTACAACTCCCGGTAGGCTCCGGATTCGCTTGCTGCCAGTTTGCTGGGCAGTGTGGGAATTGTAGGCCCAGGCCCTCGTGATTGCTGCAATCTGTGCTGGCCTTCCTCGCGCAGTCTCTGTAGCCCTCACTTCGTTTTAGCACGTCCGAACAGTGTGCCGTTATAAGAATCATCTGTGGGGCTGATGAACGTATAAATGAACAAGTTTATCCCTTAAAGATTCTGATTCAGTATTTCTGGGTTGGGGCCTAACAATCTGTGCTTTTAACATGCATACCTGTGGCTTCCTTGAACAATATCATCCGGGAAATTGGGGAACAGAGGACTACTCAAATTTCTATTATTAAAAAATGTGTGGGATTTCCCCTCCTTGTGATATTAATAGCAATGCATACTTCTTTTAGAAAATTGAAAAATACCGGAACATTTTGACGAAGAAAATTGTGTCCCTGAATTCTCTTAGCTGCATGGATTTCCTCCCAGGTTAAATAGTCAATAGTAATAATCATAAACTAATATTGAGTAACTGGAATATATCGGGCATGGTGATAAGCACTTTGCACACACTATTTCAAAACAATCTAAAAAGTAGATACTATTATTATTGCTATTTTACAGGTGAAGAAATGGAGGCACAGAGAGTCTGTTGCCCTGATCACATAGCTAGAGGTGCAAAAGGAGAATTTGAACTCAGGTTAAGTGAATCCAAATCTTGCAATGTGTAACCTAAGGTGTACTACATCCTGAGAGCTAGCTGACATCATACCCTAGGTCAGGCTTTATATTCTGATAGTTTTTGTAGCCACAGTTCACCATTGGAACCGCATGGCTGCCACCACTATCCTCTCTTCCTTTCACCCTTTTGCCCATTATTAGCTCAGCTCTTACCCACAACCCTAGCAACTGTGTCTGCTGTGCTATTTTTATTTCCTCATCTTACATAAACAGTGGAGGGGAATGTAAATAATAAATTCTGCACTATCCTTGGCTCCTGGGACGAGGCAGAATAGACAGCGATCTGGGATGCTCTCCCCTCCAACATTTCCTATTCAAGAGAGTTTAAATTAACCCTCAGAATAAATATTCAGGTGTTTATACTCATCCCTTAACATCAGCACAATCTTCCTCAATGGTTAGGTTAATAACAAACTTTCTCTCTTAAAACCTCACCATCCTCGAGATTACTCAGTGTCTATTACTAATTGACCCCACGCTTAGCACCTTTAGCCCCAGAAAAAGCCCAGTTCTGGCTGCCTGGGCCCCATGCTCATTCTCCAAGCTCCCTGATCACTTTGACTTGCCTCTTTATTTTTGGCACAGCACACCTTACTCTCTCCGTCCTCAGGGAAAACTTTTCTGACCCTCAGACCTAGTCTGGTCTTGTCTCACTGATGTAAACTCTCAGAGCCTCATTCTTGTAGCAATTATTGTAATTAAAGTGAATAATTTATGAGTTAATTGGCCACCCGTTTCTCTGCCAGAGTGTAAGCTTTAGAGCTGGAACCGTGATTTATTGTTCATTGGTGTTTCTCCAGCGTGTAGCACAATACCTAACTCAAAGGGAATGTATAAGTTCCTGTCTGTTTCCTACAGTCATGGAATAGAGTCAGAGAGAGAGTGTGTGTGGGGTCATTTGTAGACACAACCTTCAGGAAAGAAAGAAACGTTCTAGCAGGAGATGATGGATTACTCTGTCATCCCCTAATGGCTATGTGATCCCAGAGATTGGCAGCAGATGGTCACCCTTCGGCAATCTCACTGTAGGTCATGGGGACCCTGTGTCAGGCTTGCTGGAACTCTGAACTGCGAGAAGATGCTGCACCCCCAACCTGTCACCTTGCCTCTGGAATTGATATAAATCGGGTTAGGTGGGGGGATGAGGAACGAAGGTGACCAAGACTAGGGGAGGCTGATCATTCATCCAAACTTGCAGTAGGAGGCTGCCATCACATCCAGAATGTGCTCCTCCCCAGTCAAGGAAAGTGTAATACACAAGAACGGTCACCAGAGAGCACCATTGCTGTGTTAATAATCCAGGACCTTTCGAAATGTCTACACAGAAAACTGTTTTAACTTTGGCCTCGGTAGTAATCTCATTTTCAAGTATCCTTTAGGAAAAAAATCGTTGTTGGTTCTCAGTGTTAAAATTTGTCTAACAAGATGCCTGAGCCCAGTGAATTTGCACATTTTAGGTGCTGGAATATTTTATGTCAAAGACTGGCAGGAAAGGATGGAAACTTTACAAGCCCAAAATCAGATTTCAAAGGAGAAAGGGCAGGAGCTGGAAAAGAAATGAGATTCATAGGTTGCCAAGGGCAAACAGGAAGAAGCAGCCAAGTGCGTGGGCTTTTGGATCAGACGGAGCTGGGTTGGAATTCCAGCTCTGTTACTTTGGGGGCAGCGTGACTTTGGGAAAAGTTGCATCATCTCTCTGAGCCTCAGTTCTTCAGGACCTTGGAGAGGATTAAGCGCCATTTTGACAATCCATTTAGCATTAGTCCTGGTCCTTAGCAAATATTTAGGGACATACTGCATTCATGAATTTATATTTGGGTTGGGGGGTTATTTGATTAACCTCTGTCTGCCCCACTAACCTCTAAGTTCCGTGAAGGCAGGATTGCCTGTTTCCTTCATCACTGTGTCTCCAGCACCTAGAACAGTGCCTGGTACATACAGGCTCTCGGTAAATATATGATGGATGAATGAAAAAAATAATGAATGAGTGAATGGGAAATTTGCTCTTCTAACTATAAGATAAGGCCATTTAAGATTTTTGATACTGCCCTCAACCAAATGTCAGGATATACTCAATAAGCAGAGGGGTCAGGTACAATCTAGGGAGCTGGCCATAATAGATGACTAACCTGGACTAGGAAGCTGGGGCTGAGAGCAGGCCCCAAGGTTAGAAGTCAGTCTGTGGGTTGCCTTGGTAACCTTCCATCCTTCTAATGCATTGTTGTTTCAAATTACTATTACTAAAGGATGTCTAATGAAGGAGGCAAGCTGATTTAATCTAGAGAGAAAAGTGAGAAGTTTGGCTGCTCTACTGGGCATTCCAGGCTATGCTGGGACATCATACCCTTCTGGGCTCAAGGACAGGGGTGCATGGAGAGCAACAGGGAGCTGCCAGATCCTGTGTCCTTACCCTCTTCCTGAGACAACCAAGGCAGGAAGGTTCTGGAAGGTGCCTATGGGCTTGCACAGGAAGTGATGGTGGGCCAGCCACTTGACTTCCTTCCATTGCCTTCTCTGGCCAACCCTACGGTGTAGCCTTTTGGTTTTCAGCCCAGGCCCTGGAGCCAGACTACCTGGGCTTCAATCCCAAGGGTGCTGGCCCAGGGTCTTTGGCAAGTTATTTAGCATCTCTAGCAGGCCTCAGTTCCCCCACCTACAAAATGGAGAGGATCAAAATTGTCCCTACTTCCTGGAATTTTTCTGAATAAATAAAATATTGTCTATAAAGTACCTAGCATGGAAGTCAGTACATAGTAAGTGCTCAATATATTGTAGTTATTATTATTACCCACTGGGGACAACTCCCCCCGACACCCACTGAAAACCTTGTCCTTCTTGCAGTACATATCCTTGCTGGTGGACCTGAACACTTATTTGTTCACTTAAAAATAATGGTATTGTATTCTGGTGTAGGTCCAGATGGAGGCAGCGGGGAGAGGTGAGATACATGTATGAACTCTGCCTTGGCCCTTATCCTGGGGGAGTTCACACCCTAGAGAAAGGTCATCATCAGTAGAGTGCCTGAGGATGGAGGTGGGTACAGAGGGAACCGAGGAGGCTCAGGTAACTCTGCTTGAGGCAGCCTTGGGTACATCATAAAGAAGGTAGCATTTGAGGGGTCCTAATGAATGCAGTGGCATTTGCCTTCTTTTTGCAGGAAGTGCCTTTGAACACCCTTCCTGCATTTGGGCAGTCCCTCAGCTTATGAGTCTTGCCAAGAAGCAGAGACCCCTTCTACCTGAGAGTCCAGAGACTTGATCTACCAGCTTCCCAACATGTGGTCTGGACTCCAGCCATCAGGGGTCACTCTGGCACTCTGATGCAGCAGGTAGGCACATGAAGAAACAAGTCCTGGGGAAGCCAGCCATTGTGGAGTCCCACAGGGGTATCCAAGCCTGCATGGACAGCATCAGAGGCACCTGATGCCATGTCTGTCCCAGCATTGGGGCAGTGGCGTCTCCATGGAATGTCCAGTAGTGTGATTTTGGGTGTGGCTCCTATCCATGTCATCTCCAAGTCTGGATCTCTGGCCCTCCCAGGGATTCTGGGAGCCATATCGTATCCTTTACTGCACACCTTTACTGCTTAAACCAGCTAGATTTCAGCTCTGTTGTGATTAAGAATGTTTCCTGGATAAGTAGGTAAAGAAGGGAGAGGCTCAGGGTCCCAGGCAGAGGGTACAGCTTGAGCAAAGGCTCAGAGGCTTGAAGAGCGTGGATATATTCTGAAAACGGTTGCAAGTCCCATGAGCTTCATGGGTTTGCAGAGCATGTATTTGGGATGGGTTGGGGACCAGCAAGAGATGAGGTTGGTAAAGTAGGCTGGGGCTTCATATACTACCATTTCAGAGGTTGAACTTGACGTTGGGGTGGAGACAAGGGTTTTAAATAGGGCAGGACCAGCATTAGATGCAAAATTGACAAAGCTTTCTCTGGGACAGCACAATGCAATTGGACTGGGAGAAGCTGGAGGCAGGGAGACCAGTGAGGAAGCTACAAGAGTTATCTCACGCGGCAGATGTTGGCTGGAGCATCCCTGCGGCCTGAGATCTAGCTAAGACTGCGGCCTCCCCCACCCGCCCCGTCCCCTTGCCAGGGGCCATCCTAGGCCCTGCAGAAGGCCAAACTGGACCCCTTCATCATTCCTGCAAATTCTCCACGGTCCCTTCTGCTTAAGAGCTCCTGCCTCTCCTGTATTCATTTTACTTTATGGATTTTCACGTGAAACTCAGCATCTTGATTCTTCGGAACTGACTGAAGTTGAGGGTATCAAAGGAGGGACTGACATTTCCACAACATTAAAGACAAACAGCAAACTGTACTTTCAACCTTCTTGTTCTTGGAGGACTTTCCATGTCCTGAGGGATTCGTGGTCAGCTGTTTCTCCTCGTGAGTGCACCAGCCTCGTCCAACTCATTATTTCCTCCCTCCTCCCCCTGCCCTGTCTCCTCTTCTCTCCCACCCTCACGGTGTGCCGGTGGAATGCCAAATTCTCATGGTGGGATGCGCTGCGGGTCAGCTCTCTCAAGCTCTTTCTTCCGAACTCGGCTCCGGGCCTACTTTTGCACCTCCAGGCCCACGGAAGAGGTCATCCAAACATGAGGGTCATCCTTTTAACGAGCCCCCCACTCCTTTGAAGACAGGAGTGGTTAACAATTATTTTTCTGCCTCTATACTATAGCTGTTTTCAGTTGCATTTTGCTGCTGGTAACTGTAAACCACAGAATGATAGCGGCTTACACAAGTCAAAAGTTCGTCTGTCTCGTGTAAAAGTGTGGGGGAAGGCAGTCCCACGACCCTCAGGCTCCCAGGCTCCTTCCGCCATCTTGAAAACGCTTCCTTGTGATCCAAGATGGCTGCCCGCGTCTCTGGCAGGCTGGAGGGCGGGCACGGTCTTGGAGCTTTTTGGTACAGCCTCCAGTTAAAAACTGGGGTTCATGTTATTAAGGAAGAAGTGGCCAATGTATATTAGGAGGAGACTAATGCTCTGTGTCTGTGAAACCCACTTACCTCAGAAGTTACAACGGCGCTCTTCTCTGGACTGGGTGCCGAGGGAAGCTTCGATGTGTGGTCTGTTGGTCAATAGGCAACACAGTACCGATAGTTGTTTTCCCTGCTTTTAGAAATGTCAACACTACAACTTTAGGAAGGGCTGTGGGGCCGGTCAGACCCGAGGAGTGTGAGGCCCCTCAGAGGTGCGGGCAGACCCCTTGCTCATAGACCCTCGCTTCTCTGCATTTTCCTGGGACTCGGCCTGGCCTGTCACTTCTCTGCAGCTGAGGCAGAGTATGGGCCCAAGAGGCCTGTGGACACACCAGGCATCCCAGCTCCTGCTGCCCATCAGCTGCTTACAAGTAGAGGGGTGATTTCCAGAGGGAGCCTAGGGTTACTGAGAGGTGCCTGTGTTTCTGGGGAGACAGTGCTGTGGCTGTGGAGCCTGTGGGCAGAGACAAGGCTGCCTGCCTGCCTGAGCCTCAGGAGGCCGGGCTCAGCTCCTGGCTCTCATCACTCGTGGCCCCTCCAGTGCTTCGTTAGCGGGCTGCGCTCCAGACATTTGCCGCTGCCACTTGCAGTTTGAGTGGACTGCCTTCTGTGACCACATCCCAAAATGGGGGTTTCCTTCAGCCCCCAGGGGTGCTAGAGGAATGTACAGGTCCCAGCAGCACAACCCAGAATAAAACTCAGGTCCCTTGCCCCCGTTTCAGTGCCTTCTTCTTCTGCTTCCTCCCCAGGAGGGCTCTGGTTGGCAGGCTCCATGCAGTAGACTGTGGGCATCATTAAGGCTATTCACCACATATTCCCAGCTCTCCGGCTTCTAGACGCAAGGCAGGATTGCACCTGCTGGCCCCACGGAAGAGCCATGTGACTAGTTCCAGCTAATGAGCCATGAGTAGAAGTGACATGTGTCACTTCTGGACTAGAGCCTTTCATTGCTCTAGATCTTTCTTCCCCTCTGCCATGGTGACAGTGGGCAATATTTGAGATGGTGGATGCTCCATCAGCCTGAGCTCTGCGTTAAGTGAGTTGGAGCAGAGGCCCCAGCTGACCCCTGATGGACAGGTGAAGTGAACAAGAAATACATTTTTGTGTTTTTGAGTCACCCCGACTTAGGAGTTTTTTGCTCCTACAGCGTTACCTAACCTGACCTGACTGAGATATGTTTACCATCTACTTGGTTGCCTAGCATCTCAATGCCCTTCCTGTTTGGGGGTATCCTGCACCCTCTGAGACTTGTTGGGAGGCCAGGCCTTCCTGGAGAGAGTGAAAGTGCCATATGCCCACTTTCCCAGCTTCCCTTGCAGCTCAGGTTCAGTCGCAGGACCGCAGCCAGCAGAGATAGTGGGGGGATGGCTGTGGTACCAGGGCTTCTGCATTTGTAGCAGCTGTAGCAGGGGCATTGCTGGGCTGGTTCTGAACCAAGAGTTTGTGCTATGAGTCTGGCTGTGTGACCTCCCTTTTCTCTTACCTGCTCACTCAGCCAGATCTCCAGCCTTCCTGTCTGTTCTGTGAGCTGCCCAGTATCCCTTTCAGCTTGAATCACCCAGAGTCTATTTACATTGCTTGAGACTAAGAGCCTTGGACTGATACAGCCAATTAAGGGACAATGTGAGGCTGCAAGGGAGGCGGGAGGGAGGGAACTGACAAGGTGCACCTGACTTCTCTCCCCCTTCGTGAGCTGCTGCTGCAGGAGCAACCCTTGTCTGTCTTAGCCCGAGCAAGCCAAGGGTGCTGGGCAGGGGCTGCTGGTCAGCCTCGGTCAGCCTTTAGATATGTGAACCTCACTCTCTTTGGGGAATGGGCAAATAGGACCTCACTTATAGGGTGGTTGTAAGAACTGTATTTGAGAGAGTTCTGGAAACCATAAAACAAAACCCTAGGGCAAGTTTACTACATTATTATTGTAAGTGTTAACTTGCCTGAATATATCCGGCTGGCGCGTCTTGGTTGGTGTGACAGGGCAAAGTGCCCTTCCTGATGCCATTCTATTGCTCAGCTCCTTGGGGATCACAGACCAGTCCTCTCAATTCAGACCCATCTACGTTCTGCCCAAGAGACCAGAGAGCCCAGTTTAAGGTAATGATAAGATTCCCGATGGGCTTGGTGAAAGCGAAGAAACACAGAGGTTGGAAAGGATATTAGGGATTGCTTTATTCAACCCTCTCAATTTGCAGAGTTCAGAGAGGGAGAGCCCCTAACCCCCAGCCACACAGCAACTCTGTGGCTGAGCTTGGGGTTAGGATGCAGATCTTTTCACTCTGACCGCGTGTCTTAATCTGGAGGAATACTTGTACTGTAATCCAGCTTGGCAAACATGATTTGGAAGTACAATTCTCCCTCAAATTCACGACCCTCATAGATCCCCCTCGAGAAGCATGCCTGGTGCACCCCTTCTCCTTTTCTTTCTCAGCCATCGAAACCACTTTGTTGAGGAAGGGTGAAAAATTGCTGAATCGATCTTTTTAAACTGACACGGGATCTGAATCAAAGAAATTTGGAGGAGAGAACTTTCTCGTCCAAGTGGCTGCCAGCCCCCGCTCCCCCCAGCTGAAGTGCTCCCTTGTTCTCGCCTGCTCTGCCCCAGATTCATGGGCCGCTCTCCGAATCGTTGGCAATTTTCTCTGCACTGTCCTGACAACCTCCAGCCATGAAATTAAAAAGCTAGTTTCCGAATCTTGCTCCTAATGGCTTTGTCCTTGTCAGCGATTCGATAGAGAAACCTGGAAGAGGGAGTCCCGGCTGTGCCTGCAGTGGGCTGAAAGGCTTCAGGGATGCCAGTGGGCTTCGTGGCGGGAGGAGGAGAGAAGGCACGGTTTGCCAGAAATGAATGAATTAAAGGAAGAGTGAGAGGAAGAATGAACTCTGGGCTTCAAACGGAAAGATTCCTGTGTCTCAGCAGAGGTCCTGGGGCGCGTACTCCGAGACCTGCTACAAAATGCTGAGCAGCACACATTTCCCCACCCCAGTGCCCGCTGGGCCGCGGCCTGGGTCCAGAGCTCAGGGCTGGAGGGCTGGGGAGTAGGAATTTGGGGAGGAAATAGCTCCAAACTGGGGCAAGCCCTGGGAGGCCAGCCCGCCTAGCCAGTTCGCGGTCTGGCCAAGCCCTCCTCCCCCAGCTCAAGCGTCTCCCCCGAATTCGGACACCAGTGCTAACTCTACGAGCTATCACCGCTGCCCGCCCCCTCCAGGGAATTTTAAGAAGTCCTCAAAATCCAAGGAATTTTAATTACCCTTAATTAAGAAAAAAACCTTATAGAAGACCACTGTGGTATGGCTCACTGTGACATGGGTGTCCCTGAGCTGCAGGAGGGTGGGGCTCAGCCTCACTGCT